GACTAAAACTTTAAGGAGAAACCCTAGAACTGCAACAACCATCACTGGAAGTATCAAGCGTAAGGGTCCTGAAAGAAGGTAAAGCCATACTGGCAAACATAATGAAAAACACCCACACAGCAGAAGACAAAATGGGAAATTAGGAGCTCCTACAAATAGGACATTCATGTTCATTAAAACGCGTCATCAAAAGAGGAGGAAAAGAGACCCACAGATTGGGGGAAAACATTTTGCAAAAGATGTAAGATAAAAGCTCAAAAATCTATAGCGAACTATAATATCTCCATAAAAACACAAATTATCCCATTAAAAAAGGGCAGAAGACACACATTGACAATTCACCGAAGATGACATCCAGGCAGCTACCAATTAGCTAAAAGAGAAATGCAAATTAAAACCTGACACTGACAGATAGCAAAATAAATACATAACAAGTGCTGTAGAGCATGTGCCAAGATGGGAACCCTCAGACCCTGCTGGTGGCACCGCAGAATTACTTGTACAGCCACTCTTGAAAGCACTGCGGTGCTTCCTCAAACACATGCAAACAAACCTATCAGATGGTCTTGCAATCGCTCAGCTAAAGAAACAGACAACGCACACCCATGTCCATCACAGCGCTCTTCAATAAACTGTAAAAAGATCGGAACAACCAAATGTCCGTCTCTGAAGCAATGAATAAACTCTGGTACATACATAGAATGGAATCATACATATCTCTATAAAAAACAGGGAGGGAACGGTGAAGCACCTCATGGCACGGACAAGCGTCGAAGCCATTATGTGCAGCAAAGTCAGTCAATCTCATAAAGACAAATACTGCATGAGCCCACTATTATGAAGCAAAAACAAGTCACATCAAAATAAGCGGACATTGAAAGTTGCTGGGAGGGCGAGGGGAGGGGAGGGGATAAGCAGGGGTACTTTCTGGATGTCCTCACTGTTCTGTTTCTTGACATGGGTGATGGTGATCCGGGGTATTTACTTTCTAAAGATGAAACAACCTATACAACGGTGCTTTGCATACTCTCCCCTATATGTATTATAGTCCACAATAAACAACCAAAAAATACAATTTTAGATAAAGCGTCTGGGGTCTTAAAGGCTTGAAGATAAACAAGCAGCCATCTAGCTGAGAAGTAACAAAGTCCACATGGAAGAAGCACACCAGCCTGTGTGATCATGAGGTGTTGATGGGATCAGGTATCAGGCATCAAAGACCCAGAACAAAATAATCAATGTGAATGAGGGGTGGCGCCGAGTGGAAACCCAAAGCTCATCTGTAGACAACTGGACATCCCCTGACAGAAGGGTTGCGCGGAGGAGATGAGCCAGTCAGGGTGCAGTGTAGCACCGATAAAACATACAACTTTCCTCTAGTTCTTTAATGCTCCACGCCACCTTCCCCCACTATCATGATCCCAATTCTACCTTACAAATCTGGCTAGACCAGAGCATGTACACTGGTACAGATAAGAACTAGAACACAGGGAATCCGGAACAGATAAACCCCTCAGGACCAGTAACGAGAGTAGCCATGCCAGGAGGGTGGAGGGAAGGTGGGAGGAGAAGGGGAACCGATCACAACGATCTACATATAACCCCCTCCCTGGGGGATGGACAACAGAAAAGTGGATGAAGTGAGACATCTGTCAGTTTAAAACATGAAAAAATAATAATAATTTATAAATTATCAAGGGTTCGTGAGGGAGAGAAGGTGGGGGAGGGGGAAAATGAGGAGCTGATACCAAGGGCTCAAGTAGAAAGAAAATGTTTTGAAAATGATGATGGCAACAAATGTACAAATGTGCTTGACACAATGGATGTATGTATGGATTGTGTTAAGAGTTGTACGAGACCCCAATAAAATGATTTAAAAATATATAATTTAAAAAATAAACTATAAGAACAAGTGGTGATACAGTCAATGGATAGAAATAACACAAGGAGAATGAGAGAGATATCTAACACCAAATTTAAAAAAAAAGAAAACACAAACTGCAGAGGAGATTTTAAATTTAAGGTTTAAAGATGATCTCGGGGCTTAGAAGCAGGTCAGACTTGTGACTGGAGAGGTGAATGAATCCAAGGTGGGCTGGCCAAATGGCAAGACGCTGTTGGCTCCTGCAAGGCCATTGGCTCAAGACCAAAGAACCAAAAAGGTCAATGAGCCAGCTGCAGGATCTAGACCAGTGGTTCTCAACCTTCCTGATGCCACCACCCTTTCACACAGTTCCTCATGTGGTGACCCCCCCTACCATAAAATTATTTTCGTTGCTACTTCATAACTGTCATTTTGCTACTGTTATCAATCAGGTGACCCCCAAAGGGGTCACGACCCCCAGGTTGAGAACTGCTGATCTAGACCCAGGGAAAAAGCTTTTCCAGTGTCCATTTACTTCAGAAGGAGGCCACACCCCTGAGGAAACTTCCTTTCCATTGCATCCGGGCTCTGACCTGGGCGGCACTGTACCCTTATCATCTTATAATTGATTGGTTGCTCACAGCAGATCTTATGCTGCAGTTGATGGATTATATTCGGGCCTATCATGGGGGATTTACAGGCCTTAACTCCTAAACCACCCTAAATCCTGACCCAACCAAGTTGGCACATAACCCTCACACTTCCTTTCTCGATTGCATTTCCTAAATAGTTTTTTTTTCAAAAGCAAAATATTCACATTTCCCCCCAACAGTTTTATTAGCACATAATTTAAATACCATACAATCTAATATTTCAATCGTTCAGTCATATCCAGGGACCGTCACCACCACATCAATCTTAGAGCATTCCTAATATTTCATCTACTAGCCCAACATCACCTTGTACAGAGAGCCAACTGGCCGCTCTGCTGATGTCTTGGGTACCACCAGGGGACCCAACCAAGCTGTCAACACTATTTAAAATATAATTTGGCTTTGATATGCTGATCCCCTGAAAAATATGCCAAACTGAGTTTCCTAATTACATCTGTAAAATCTTTGGCTGCTTGGGTTTGCCAGTTCCCTTGCTGAAGCCAAAGGGAGTACTTTAAAAAATTATGTTTTGGAAATGTTGATGGCAACATATGTACAAGTGTGCCTAATACAATTGAATGTTGGATTGTCATAAGATTTGTAAGAGTCCCCAATAAAATGATTAATTGTTAAAAAAGGAAACAAAATCTCTCTGGATTTTCTTGGAGACTTTCAATTAAGGGGACGCCAAAAGAAAATGTCTTTCGCTCCTGTTGTTTGAGCCATGAAGTCGTTCCCTTCTTAGACAAGACCTTTCAGAGATTCACTAGCTTCTTCAGACACAGGGACATTAGAGAAGCCTCCTTTCTAATTAGTTTCCTCTAGTTTATTATCACTTGATTTATGGGTGGAACTATCCAAGGAAGACCCTCTTGTTGAACATTCATTGTCATATGAACCAATTTCACCATTAGGCAGATCTTTTCCATGAGATTTAGAGAATCAAAAAAAAATTGATTAGTCTTCAGCATCTCTATTTTGCTTCTCTTGAATTTTAGCTTTTTAGGGTGGCTTTGGGTCAATTTTGGGGGGCTTTGATCCAAATCGTCTGTAACATCTTCTCACTTCTCCTTTGAGTTGTAATGATACCTCGGACTTCCCTCTTTCCTCTCTCCTTCCTCTGGCTGACTCCTCCATGGGCGTTTCCAGTTCCATCATGCACACCTCCCCACCCCAGCTACCATTCCCTGTTGCCACTTTCTCCATGCAGCTAAGAGCGGCAAAGGAGGGAAGGAAGATGTCGGCTGGCCCCACCCACATCTCCTTCATCAACACTAGTATTTCTGTACACACCAACCCGTCTCAAATGGTCAACCCTGCAATCCCTCTGCAGGTTTCCTGTGGCCATAGTGCTGACACACCCATTCAGCTGCTGGATATTAATTCTCTGCTCAGCGTGGGCCTAGCCTTCCATTAATGATTGACAGGAGTTTGATTAATCAATGACTGATCGCACTGCCCTGGCTCCCTTGTCTCCAGAACTCCCCAGCAGAATTGGGCTCCACAGCTCAAAATGTTTACTTGCTCAGTAAGCCATCTTTTGTTTCCCTCCATTCGGTCTCAATTCGCTACTCCTCTAGGGTTTCCGGGACTACCTCCGAAATACACTCCCTGCATTCCGGTTCTTGTCTCAGAGTCACCTTCTGGAGAAGCCTACACTCCGAGGAAGTCCCGAGTACAACTGGAGGGAACTTTTCTCACCCCACTTGAGGAAGCTGGTCCCCTTCTTCATGCTCCTCTGACTGTGGAAAGGCGCTGACCCTAACATTCTGAAGGCAGCAGCTGGTTGTCTAATGTGATGACAATTACCCAAATAGTATTTCCTGTTCATATAAAAATACTTCTCTACAGAACGTTGACAATAAGGAGAGGGATATAATGTAACCTAAAGCTGTTCATTTTCTACCGCTTCTCCATTTCAAAGTACTTAGAACACATTTAATAAAATATGACCCCTGTAAGAAGGTGTTGGTGAAAGATGGGGGCATTCTATTCCCATCAACCTCACAGTGACCGTCCTGCCCCCTCCTGCAGGGTCACTATGAGTCGGCACCGACTCGATGGCAGTGAGCGGTGAGTAAAAGCGGCATTACACTTCATCTTGAATAATTTGGCTTGCAGTATATCATTAGCTACAAGGGTTTAGGTTCCTTTTCTAAAACTTAGCTGAGTACCAATGACGCTCTCTAATTTGTAAACTTATTTTTGGAAACCATTCTCTTCATTTTATAGTAATATTCAGAATGGCATATAAAATACTAAAAATTGGGGAGATTCTGTGTGCTGTATTTTCCAAATAAGGCGATATGATTTCAGAACTTTTTGTAGGTTTTAGCAAGTACCCTGATTCAATTTCTTGATTTCAAGTAACTATACAGAAATAAAGATTTTAAAGTTCATGTTGAGAACGAAGAAGTCTAGAAACGATAAGATAGCTATGTTTGCTAGCAAACCTTGCTACACACACACAAAGAAAGGAAATGTTCATTTAAATGCACTTTTTATTCTTTCATAGATTTTAATAATTATACACAACTTTTAACATAAAGATAGTGAAATTTCAAGAGTCAGGAGGCAATATATATGACCTTTTCTATTGTTTCTTCAGGATGGAAGGAAATTCTCAAAGGATACAATGTGTGAGATTTAACACTGGAAAAATACATATGAAACTTATTTAACTGGCTCCACTTAGGACCAGGCACAGCACAATAAATATAGAATTGCATCATCTTTTAAAAAGATTTTTGTAATTGTAACACATTCTTGTTAAAGAAATACGATCAGTGCCCTAATCAGAAATTCTACAACACAAAAGTGAAGGGAGACTTACAATGGATATCTGAACAGTTTCTCTAGCATCCTCACACTCATACATCAACATTCTTAAAAGGAGTAAGAATGTACACTGCAAATTCAGAATAACAAAAATCAAACTTGGCCAATTTTTTGTCATCATACCATTCATTACTCTCACAATCCTAGTATGCTGGTAGCTTCAAGGTAGGAATAGAAAGTTTTTGAAATCCTTCGAATTTCCACTGGTCATAGGGCCTTTGGTAGGGAGGCCACGTTGGAAGCAAACTGATTAAGCAGCATCATTATGTCTACATCTCAACACATCATTGCATAATTTTTATCTGCCAATATCCTGAGAGATTAAAAAGAATTTCGTAGAAGAATACCTTTCCTGAATAGCGAGCCAATTAAAGAGCTTGCAATCCACAGAGTTCAAAGAAAACAATTCCCTGCTGATTGCATCTTTCCTTAAAAGACCAACAGAAAGGCATTACCTAAAGCAGTACTTTAACTATGCTGTGACATCTGGGTATCTAAGACAGTTACATGTGTCTGGACACCCTCACCTCTGCCCAGAGAGGCAGCAGGGGAGGCAGCACTATTGGTCAGACACTGTTCCCACTGCTCCTGAGAAACGGTGGCCCTCAGAGCTGTCCTGCGGTGTGCCTTGCCACACAAACATCGATAACAGTCTTTTAAAAGAAATACTTACAAGGCAGGATGAAGCAATCTTTTTCACATGACACAGATTTCTGTAATAACAGACGCGGGAGTTACTCTTGTCACTATTGCACACAATGGAAATTGTTCAGCTGCTTCGGTTACAGATGTTCTGAGAAACCTTTGACCCAGTGAATGACAAACGACATGCAAGAAGTATCTCTGTACTTGGTAAAGCTGGTTGGTTAAAAATTCAACAAGCAAACAAGTGACATGCCATTGTTTTTGGAAAACAAAACGTCCGGGTGGCCCCATGAATCCCGACAGCCCCATTGGCCCTGACCGCTCAAGTAGCTCAGTACCTGACACACTGCCACATGGTTCTCAGAGGCTCGGTCGGGCTGCTGAGATCTTTGAAGAAACGAAAGGGTGTGATGTGAATCAAGTGTTCAGTGATTGTTTTAAGTATAATTTTAATTTAATGAGTAATGTAGTATAACAATCCTTGATACAGAATTTTCATAATGAAATAAAATATACTTTATCAAGAGGACGCTAAACTGTTTCACTGCCTAGCTCCTCCTGTACTTTTGTGGGGAGGGTACTACTTCATATACAAGGAGGCTTCAGAAAGTACATGGAAACATTCTATTATCTTTTAATTCCCGTTTTCCACAAACTTTCAAGACCCCTGTATTGTGCTGAGCCCCACAATCACCTGTTTTAAAAATAGTAAAGTTCCCAACACTTCCCCACAAATATTCCTGATTTCTCCTGGGAAAGCAATCCAGAATTGGACCATTAATCATTCATATCTTTAAAAAGGAAGTATTTCCTGCAACGCTGTTTCTTAGCAAATGCTAAGCCGCAAATCCCCTTACGACTGAGATATTGAGTCACCCCATAGAGTACCTGGTCTTCCATTCTAAATGCATTGCAATTACAGTACATGCAGTAGTCCTGTTGACAATTTAATGGGCACGAGAAAGGGCAAACCTATGAAAAGGTTATGAGTGTCACCCTACATGACAAGTTTACAGTAGTGTAGCCGTTGTATAGATATATATATTTACTACATTCGCCACTTCAGGTAAAGACTCAGGGAGGCCTTTCACACACTGAAACGAAGGAATGCTTGTTTTACATAAGACCTACCAAATCAACACGGAAACAAATGGTAATATACAGAGGCACTAGTCTCAAAGCTGCACAATAATAAGCAAGGGGTTGAGATGAGAATTTAGGAAAATAAACACCTATGAGCTTGTGGAGGAAAAGGAGGAAGGAAGTCACAGTTCTAATCCTCAAGGCTCCGGAATGCATTCTGCATGTCTTCAAGAAGTTGGGCATAGTCGGCCTTGATCTTTGCCTCACCATCTTTCACTGGATCCTGAAAAAGAGGCATCATAGGGTCCAATTACCTTTGGAAAGCAAGTTTCAGAACATGCACTAACACAGTTAATATGAGAGGCTTGGAAGTTTGTGGGGGGAAATGCAATTAAAAGGTAATGGGATTTTTCCACATCTGTTTTGAAGCCCCCCTCTATAGTTTGATCATCGGGTTAAGCACGGTATAGGAAAGTCAGAGATAGTAGTAAAAACTGTCCTTTTCTTTTTTCCTTTAAGGCTCCAAAATCTAAACCAAATTCACTGCCACTGAGCCAATTCTGACTCACGGCGACCTGTAGGACACAGATAGAGAAGAACTCCCCCTGAGGGCTCCAGAGACTGTAAATCTCTCCAGGAGTAGAAAGCCTCATCTTTCTCCCGCACAGTAGCTGGTGGTTTAGAACTGCTGACCTTGCAATGAGCAGCCAATTGGTAACTTACTATGCCACAAGGGGCTCACACACTGTATATTACATTATAAACACTCAAGAGGTAATTAGTGAGTATGCCCACATGTCACCTTGAAATAAATACAATTCAACTGATCAAATATTTTTAAAGTATCTATATGTTTCTAATGATAATTTCACTTAAATGTCTACTTATGTCTTGCCCGTTTCTATTAGAGTGAGAGGCAATTCCAAAGTTAAGTATGGGGTGTAACAGGATAATTAAAGGAAGTAAACAGCAGCGACGTCACCTCAGAAGAGCACGGGGATAGAACTTAATGAGCACTGTAGTGAGCTAATTACTGCTCTGCAATGAGTTTAGTTCTAAATTTCCTGGTAACTGTGACAAAGCAAAAGGAAAGCAGGTCAACATGTCTGTTAGACATGACGTGCTGTAATTTTTATCCTTACGGTTCCTACTTGGACGTGATCTTCAGGCCTGTTTTGGTTTTTCACAGTGCACACTCTAAGTGTTAAGTCCCACGCACACGTTTGGGACTTAATAGAAACAAACAAATAACAGATGTTTCCTACTACCAAAAAGGTACAGCAGACAGAAAACCCACCTTGAACTTCATGGAGGAAAGCTTATAAAGGATCTCCCCCATGTGCTCACGGATATTGGACCATGTGATCTTACTGTCACTCTGGGCAGTGGTTTCAACAGCTCTACGGGCCATATCATAAAACGCAATCATGTTGGACAACATCCCCACCGTCTTGTAGAACGGACAGAACCTAGGATAAATGAAGGTCAAAATAATTCACAAAAACACAATCTTAAGCGGGTTCATACTTTCTATGAACTTTACAAAATATTAAAGAATTTGTTTCTTTAGTCCATAAGCAGCCTACGGGCATACCTCGTTTTATTGCGCTTCACAAAATAGTAAATATATATATGTACATACACACACACACACACACACACATATATATATACATACACACATTTTAGATTGAGCGTTTGTAGCAACCTTGCATGGACTAAGTCTATTGGCGTCATGTTTTTCCAACAACATGTACTCACTTCGTGCCTGTCACATGTTGATGATTCTTTCGCTATTTCAAACTTTTTGGTATTGCTATTGCACACATATTAGACTACAAGATAGTATACAAGATAGTATAGTATTCTTTCGCTATTTCAAACTTTTTGGTATTGCTATTGCACACATACTAGACTACAAGATAGTATACTACAAGATGTTTACATGCACTAGAAATAAAAACTTTGTGTGACTCTTTATCGCAGGGGTTTGGCACTGAACCTGTGACAGCTCAGAGGTGTGCCTGTACTTATATTTATTAGCCTATACAGAGGAATTTTTTTAAAAAGTAGGAAATGACTAAATTTGTCTAAATTTTTAAGAGAAATCTCAGAATACATTAGCATGGATATGCATGGAAAGATATTTTTAATGAATTTTAAAGACCTTTTTCTGTTAAATTAAATGGAGTGAACAATAAAATAATTTAAATAATTCTGCTATGCTTTAATGGCTCTCTGAGAGTTTGTTCTGGGATTTCACAGTTAAAGAGTAACCCAAATGGTAGAATAACTAAGTGGTTAAAAACTCTTGTGTTCACAAGTTACAATTTAATGAATAAGAAAGAAAAAACAAATCTGTTATTCCCAAAAGTTTAACAGTAGCTCCATTCCTCATTTATACATAACACTTAATAGCAAAAATACCCAAGCACATATTCAATGTCAATCATGTGCATGCTAATCCAAGTGTTTGATATATTTCAATGCAGTAGAACACAATTCAATCTATATTACATCTCTTCCAAAGAGTCTTCCCTTTGTTGAGATACGTTTGAGGGGTGTTTCCTGAAGGTTTATTTCCTGGTGTCGATTTTTCAGCTTTGTCATTATATTGTCATACTGTCTGCTTCCTATAGAGAGTCACAACTCTTCTATTTTTCAGTCCCTTCTTCTATCTTAAATAAGGTCAGATATAATTTGATAGAAGCAAGATGAAAGGACTGAAATTCTCATAGTTTAAAAGAAACGAGAACAGTAGTATCAGAGACAATAATGAGAAGCTAGCCCTGGGCAGGCGCAGCAAGGGCTAGCTGGGGCATCTTCCAACGGCAGCAGGTGCTCATTTAGTAGAAAGAAACTGCAAACGCACTCAGGGGAAAAGGCTTGAAAGGAGAACAATTACTGAGCTGGTGAGCAAGACGAAGCGACCTGCAGGTTCCAGCACCATCTCAACCACAATTTAATCTGGTAACAGATCGTTTTAAAGTGAGTGAAAAGACTATGCGACATAACTGGACAAAAGAGCAAAATCAAGGTATAAAAAAACCAATGTTGAGTTGATTCTAAGTCATAGTGACTGTCCAGGGCAGAGAACTGCCCACAAGGTTTCCAAGGCTGTAATCTTCCACCTGCACAGATGCTGGTGGCTTTGACCTTTCTGGTAGGAGCCTAGCACTTCACCACGGGACCAGCAGGCCTCCTCAAAATCAAGACCAGGGGAAATACAAGAGTCTTCACTAGCTGTCAGCTATTAATATAGTAACTAAACCAGTACATCAAGCTAGAGTGTGGCTCTAAGAGGAAAAAAGGTAAGTGTGTAGGTACCTCCTCCCTCCAACCCGTGATGTAAAATCTTTAAAATAAAAAAAATCAGTAAAGCTTACCTGTCATAAGGAGTATATCCATTTTGTTGCAGGAAGTCATCTTTAATAAGTTTTGCCACCTCCAGAGTAATTTTATCTGTTTCTGCTAAAGAAGCCTAGGAGAAAAACATAATTTTAGAAACGTATTCCGAAATAGAGGACTGATGGTAGTTATCTTTTAGGAAGCAGAGATTGGATAATCAACGTACAATAACTGCCCCTTACAATATGAGGTTAGAAAGGCTTGGTCTCTTGTACTTTGGAAATGTCACTCGGGGCGGACCAGTCCCTGAGAAGGGCAGCATGCCTGCTCATGAAGAGGGCTGCCAAAGCAAAACGAGGAAGCCTCTCAGTGAGATGGCTGCGTTGTTGCTGGTGCCGTGTGCCATCCAGCCGACTCGGACTTCTTGTGACTACAGGACACAGTGGAACTGCCCCAGGGGGTTTCCAAGGCGGTCAATCTTTAGGGAAGCAGACGGCCCTATCTTCCTCCTGTGGCATGAGTTGGCCCACCAGCGACCTTTAGATCTATGTACATACAAGGAATAGTAAATAGGTACAGCCCCTGACTTACAGTGGGGCTCCATTCTGATGATCCTATCGTTAAGTTCTGACATTACTCAATGTTAGTTTTTAAGCTTTACTAACTTTATAAATCTTATCTGGTTAGGGGTTTGTAACAGCACCTTTAAATTTAGATACAATTTAACACACACATTAGTAAAATTAAAAAATCATAAAGTTTTATACCAATAATGAAGAAGAGTTGGACAAAGTCAGTATTTTGTCAGTTGAACCACTAACTCCATGTGTGGAAGGTTCTGGATTATCCTTGGAATGGGACTAGGATTTCCACTCAGAACATTAGAATTCTGTATATTTTATTCTTCCCTTCATATATTTTGTGGCAGCATCTTGTTGTTTCCAAAATCTGTCTCTCAATTTTAGCAGAGCAATCAGTGTTTGGGTCAATGCTTTCAAAAAACTGAAGTCCCTGATTTAGTTTTTGTGTTTTTTTCCTGATTTAGTTTTTAAAACACTTTGGCTGACATTTTCATTATAAAATTTTTCTGACAACTTCTCTTTCCTCTTCTTCAATATTTGTTTCCTCTTCAAAATGCATCCAGTCCTGATCGGTCAACTCCCCTCTCTGGGATCTGGGATCTGCTCCAGAGCAGTGATACCATGTTCTAGCTGTATGGAGGTTCTGCCATCAGCGCTTCCTGATCAAGGGCTTGGAGCATATTCACATCACTCAGCGTTTTCCACATTCCTGCTTGCAGCTTCCCGAGGAAGATGCAATGGTTCCAGCTATACTGATAGGTTGTAGGCAGTTCTTCGTAACTTGAATATGTTGCAAGTTGGGAGGCTGCTGTCCACAATAGCAGCACTGTACCGTGATTCCATATTGTTTCTCATCTGCATTCTTCTTTCACATTACTGAGTTCTCTCCCTGTGCCTTTCGGGGGATTGTTTTCTTCCATAATCTGTCTGCTTTCTTTGTCCATATTTCTGCTGGGGTTCCAATATTCTTGTTGAAATATAAGAATTCCTCTTACAGTCAGTTGTAAATGCAGCAAACTTTTATCCCAAAATCTGCTACCTTATTCATGCTGTTTTTCCAGCCACCCCAGCCCAGGCTGCAGAGCCGAGTAAAGCTGACTAGTGCCTCAACCAGCATGTGACTACCAAGGTGAAGAGCCCCAAGCAAGACCCAACCAATGGAGCCACAGTCCAGGAGCTGGGAGCAATAGAACACAGCTCTAAGTCGCTAAGTGTTGGTGTGGTTTGTTGGTCAGCAATCATATCAGTAATCATCCTTCTTATCTTTCACAATGTAAGTGGGCCCTTCAAATAGCTGGTGAATGTAGACATAACCAAAACCTCAATTAGTTTAAAATATATGGGGAATACTTACTCACTTTTCTGGGCAAGGATTTATATACCCAAAACTCTTCCTGTTCTCCAACCACTCTGAGGGGAACCCACAGTTACCTTCTCCATCAAATCTAACAACTCGCCTTTCCCACAAGCTGCACAATTTCGGCCAGGTCTTCTTCCTCCTGCAGAATCTCCTTAGCTTTGGTCCGCAGAGGCACAAACTCCGTGAAGTGTTTGTCATAGTGCTCATCCAGGGCACGCATGTACTTGCTGTAGCTGATGAGCCAATTGACAGAGGGGAAGTGCTTACGTTGAGCTAACTTCTTATCTAAGCCCCAAAACACCTGATTAAAAAATAAATAACAGATTTTCTTAAAAAAAATACAGCATACTGAGGTATATTTATTTGTTCTAAATGTCCAAAACATGTAATTCTACACTTTACTGGTTAAACTATGCATCTTTCAAAAATAAACTCAGGATAATTAAAATAGAGTGAAACTTGTAGGAAATGTCAAGTAACACATGTCTTCCTTTCAGGGAGGGATGCGCCTATATATCAAATTCAAAATTTATCCCAGTTTCCTTGATGGTATGTCAAATTTTATAGCAAAAAGAAAAACAGACTCTGAGATTGTTATGGTGCAACAGAAACATATGAGCCAGAAAATAACTACTGAGCTGAAATAGACATTTTACTTTGGTTAAAGACCGATAAATGTTCCGATAAAATCCAGTTTCCCACGAATAAAAGGCAGTGCAGTAGGACCTGACAGTTATTTTTTCTGAGGCTAACTATTTACATATATTTTATGCATCCATAACCTTACTCACCACCTTCTCCCATAATGTAAAATTCAAAATGTTGGCACACAGAAAAAAGACAGTGTTTTGCTCCTCTTTTGCTTATAATCAAAATATAAGAAACACTAGCAATACAGCAATTTGTTTTCTATCCTGAGAATTGCAAATTCAGACTCATACTACATATTCTGTTTCCCCACATAAATGGTAACACATATTCTTATTATTACATCGAACACGGCTTATTATTACATCCTCCTCTTGGAGGGTGGGATGGAGAAAAGATTATAGTTTTTATTTGTATGATCTTTTATTTACGCTTCTTTCAATTGCTACACTGGGTAACTAGCCACTAAAATTCGCTGGGAAGCAGCTGCCTCGACAGAACAACATTTCCCTGGCTTGCTTTCACTTGGGGCCAAATGAAGGCGTGGAATGACTGTCACTGGTTCAGAAAATGGGTGGGCTTCTCTACAGTCTCTTTTCCCTTCTGCCAGCCCGAGGCAGGGAGAGGCAGGTGATGAGAGACCTGGTGGCAAGCCTGGTCTCAAATGTAGCTACCCAGAAGAGGCCCACTCTGATAGGCCCATCTACCTTAGACTGTACAATAACGAGAAACAGACCACTCGATTTTGCCACTATATATTTTTCTGACATACCACCCCCACCTTAACCCCGCTAAAGAGTGGTATGCCTGTGGTGTACCCACCTTCCCTTAACCTAAAGAGTGGTATAATATTACAAAATCTTTGCTACCACAAGATCTACTTTGCCTCTCTCTGATTTACAGATACAAAGTATATTATTAAGCCCTGGTAAAGCTGAAAGGAAGACCAAACCAGAGGCACTTGGTAGTAACTAAAACTGCTAACTACAACAAACTTTAGCAATGCCTTCAATCATTCTTTCTAATGATCAGGTTAAGTGCTTGTGGTGATGCAGATAATATTAGCATTGTAAACAGTGGGGCCGGGGTGCCCACTGCACAGAGGGAGGCTCAGGAAGGGACTAGACCAGGGAAAAACACACCTGAACAATACCAAGAGTAGCAGATGTAACAGGATCAGAAAAATCACCACCAGGTGGAGAAACCCTGAATTCAGAAAAAAAGAAAAACATAAGTAGTCATTAGAAAAAAATATATTTTACAAAAAAGGATATATTTATTAACTTAGTGAGTTAGTTAATTGTGCCAACCTGGCCGATAAACACACGTGGGGCTAATAGAAAGGTGGAGGGATAAATGGGTGGTGAGCCTCGCCTTTCTAGTTCTCGGGTCTCTTGATTTGTGATGGTCGCACCAGGGTGCAGCTGCCTGAGCAGTTCCCTGCTTCAGCTTGCAAGATTGACTTCCTACAAGACATCCCCAAGGAGAAGCCACATGGACCTATCCCGATGCAGCCCTGGGTGCTGGAGCAGCCGTGTAGAGACCCCTGCTAGTGCTGAGATGCTTATTCCTTCACTGACTCAGCTTTCCTCCTGCAGTCGGCATCATTGCCTCTTGTTTTGTGAGGTGGAGGACTTTGTGGACTGGTGTTGGGTTAATGGGTTAATGTTGGACTTGTGGGCTTGGGCAGCATTGGGTTGGGATGTTTTCGTGATGCACATAAAACTCTCTCTTATACATGAGTTGCTGTGGATTTGCTTCTCCAAAGTACCCAGACTAATACACTTAGATATACGAAATTCTTGAAAATTTTCTTACAAAGTAAATTTTTAATGAGAAACAAGTTAAATAACTTTAGATATAGCCTTTGGAAAGAAAATGTCACTGAACAATCTTAAATAAAACCTACTATAAAATTACAACCAAGAATGACAACTATCAAAAGTTGGCAAGTACAAGAAAGAGATATTTTATTACATTAGTTTCAATAATTTCATCAAATAGAAGCAGGAAAGTAAGCAGAAGAAAAGACAAGGCCCAAGAACAAGGCACGGTCTTACGTATTTACGGATTAATTTCTCCCTGTTTTTACTATGACACAATCATCCTTCGTGCCATCTGTCATTTATAAGCTGCTTCTTAGGCTATTGTGGCTTGATGCAGTCAAGCAATCAAGCCAAGCACATGTGACGGGAACACTGAGACATGACCTACAGCTGTGCATCTTCAATGCAAGGCATGGGGATAACTGCACTGCAACCCTGGTGAAGAACCCCCGGCTCAGAGGCACACTCTTTAAAATAATGACTTTTTGTAAAAAAAAAAAATCATTTTATTGGGGGCTCGTACAACTCTTATCACAATCCATATATCCATCCATTGTGTCAAGCACATTTGTATATTTGTTGCCTGTGGTAGTCACCTAATCTGGAGTCAATTTAAGGATTAAGAGTGTAGGGGTGGAGTCTAGGCTGTCAATCTAGAGATAGCCAATGAGACTTTGGTGTGGGCACGCCCTCTCCTGAGAATTCTGGGAAATCTGGTACTTCCTCCTTGGAGGCGGAAGACACCTCTCTCTGCTACTCTGAGACATTGCAGAAGACAAGCCACATGGACGCAACCAGACCTCAGAAGCCAGAGAAGCCACAAAGAGACCCCTGCCAGCACTGAGATGCTTACAACGCCACTGGACCCAAAGACTTTCTACCCACTGGCTTATGATCGTCCTGTATTTAGCTTCATTGCATGTGTTTCGTGATAGGTGTCAGACATGTGGGCTAATATCAGACTTATGGCCTTGGACTGGACTGGGTTGGGATATATTCTCAATGTCCAATTCCTCTCGTATATAAACCTCTCCCTTATATACATATGCGTGTTTATGAGTTTGTTTCTCTAGTCTACCCAGACTAACACATTGCCATCATCATTTTCAAAACATTCTTTCTACTTGAGCCCTTGGTATCAGCTGCTCATTTTTCCCCTCCCTCCCTCATGAACCCTTGATCATTTAAAAATTATTTTTTCATGTCTTACCCTGACCGATATCTCCCTTCACCCACTGTTCTGTTCTCCATCCCCCAGGGACGGGGTTGTAGGCAGATCATTGTGATTGGTTCCCCCTATTTCCCCCACTTTCCCCTTACCCTCCTGGTGTCGCTACTCTCATCATTAGTCCTGAGGGGGTTTATCTGTCCTGGAATCCCTGTGTTTCCAGCTCTTATCTGTACCTGCGTACATGCAGGTCTAGCCGGATTTGTAAGGTAGAAATGGGGTCATGATAGTGGCGCGGGAGGAAGCATTAAAGAACTGGAGGAAAGTTGTATGTATCATCGTTGCTACACTGCACCGACTAGCTAGTCTCCTCCCCACGACCCTTCTATAAGGGGATGTCCAGTTGCCTATAGATAGGTTTTGGGTCTCCACTCTGCAGCCTCACTCATTCACAATATGATTTTTTGTTCTGGGTCGTTGATGCCTGATACCTGATCCCATCGACACCTCGTGATCACACAGGTTGGTGTGCTTTTCCATGTGGGCTTTGTTGCTTCTCAACTAGATGGCCGCTTGTTTATCTTCAAACCTTTAAGACCCCAGGCGCTAAATCTTTTGATAGCCATGCACCATCAGCTTTCTTCACCACATTTGCTTATGCACCTGTTTTGTCTTCAGCGATCATGTCGGGAAGGTGAGCATCATGGAATGCCAGGGTAATAAAGCAAACTGTTCTTGTGTTGAGGGAGTAATTGAGGAGAGGCCCAATGTCCATCTGCTACCTTAATATGAAACCTAAAAATATATATATAGATCTATTTCCCCATCCTCATATATCTTTACATATGTACATGCCTGTATTTAGACCTCCATAAATGCCCTTTGCCTCCTAGTTTTTTCTTTTATTTCCTTTTACTTTCCTCTTGTCCCATTATCATGTTTAGCCTTCATGTGAGTTTCAGTCATTCCTCTTGGTTACATTGCCCTTGATCAAGCCCTACCAGGTCCCCTATACCCTCCTTGCCATCAATTTTGGATCACTTGTTGTTCCCTTGTCCCTGGGTTTGTTAACACCCACTTTCTTTCCCCCACCACCCCCTCTCCCATGTTCCCCCAGAACCATCGGTCCCATTGGTTTCTCCTCGAGATTATTTACCCCACCTATCTTATCTAGATAGACATGCAGAGATAATAATATGCAGAAAAACAAAACAAAGCAACAAAAGAGAACAAAATAATAATAACAACAACAAAGACTTTTTTCTTTAGCAAAGTATAGAGTTTGGATGCTTACGCTCCTACAATGCTGACACTGCCTTCTCTTTCAGGATTCCCAAGACATTTCACCCTGCCTGCTCGCTCATAGAAAGAGGCCAAGCGGGCGCCAAGATATGCAGGGTATCCACTATCTGAAAAATGAAACGAATTTTGAAAAGAGGGGCTGGGGATAAAACCAATTCCCCAAATCATACCTGTTTGGGTCATATAATAAGTGATCCAGTGACTTACCTGCAGGCATTTCAGCTAAGCGGCCAGAGATTTCTCTAAGGGCCTCAGCCCATCTAGAGGTAGAATCAGCCATCATACTGACGTGATAACCCATGTCACGGAAATATTCCGACAGTGTAATTCCTAAATGGGAGCAAGACCACAAGTAATGATTCTAGAATCTATAATCCCATGCTAACTTTTTCACCCGTAAGCATAAGAAAACTTAAAGCAATAAAGTACACGAGGGAGACTAATAGCTGTTTATCAGATTCTGCTCTTCTGGGCACACTAATGAATTGCATTCCCTACCTCCTTTGCATTTAGGTATGTCCATGGAATTCACCTCTAGCGAATGGAAGGTGAGTCAGTATGCCCATTCCCAGGCAGTGCCCACGCCCCTCCATGCTCTTTGTCTTTCCTGGCCTTAACTCTTGTCAGCTGAAGCCCCATCCCAGAATGACGGGCTCAAGAAGAGCTCCCTGACCACTAATGGTTAAATGAGAAAGAAAGAACTATCTGTTACGCAGAGCAAACCTATGCTTAGCTTTATTTGTTGACATTAACTAGACTACGCTAATCTGATAGATATTTTAAAAGCACAGGAAAACTATCGCCCCATTCTTTGTGTGTGGAGGAGCCCTGGTGACAGAGTGGGTAATGGAGGTGAGCTGCTAACTGCGGAATCAGCAGTTTGAAACGACCAGTTGCTTCGAGGGAGAAAGGCGAGGATTTCTCCTCCCATAATGATTCACAGCCCTGTGAAGCCAAGGTGGTAGAGCTACTCTGTCCAGTAGAGTTGGCAATTCTACTCTGTCCTTGAGTTGAAACTCACTCCTTTATATTCTCTACAAACACACACCAAAGAAATGGACTTTTAAAAATCTTAACTAATTAATCTGCTATTCTGTCAAAAGTAACAGATGTTATGAATATGAGTAATATCTCAGTTATTGACTATTCTGCTCTGCAAATCAGGTCTGGTCATGCAAAGGCACATATCATCAATCTAAAGGAAGCGCAGATGTGGAAAGAAACCCTGAGTTCAAGAACCTTCTCTTGTTAACTAGCTATGGAACGTCAGCTAAGTAACTTTATTGATTTCCCACCGTGGTTTCCTAATCCATTAAAATGGAATGATAAACTCCCGCTCTTTTACATGAAAAGATGAAATCATATATGTGCTACACAACTCTATTAAGTCCTAGAACCTAGTGCCCTCACACCTTTATGTAGCCAATACAGACACGGGCACAACTAAGTAAAGGAAAATAGTTGCTAAAAATTCAGTCTCTGACATAGTTCAAAATAAAAAAATATGAAAATCTGTGGCTTCCATTAACAGCCTATGAGTAACCTCTTAAGAAATATTACCTATTAGTAAGAGTAAAAAACAGGGTACTTATCACACATTTCAAATCTGGTAAAATGAGTTCCTTTTATATATGCATAGTTGTGCATTAAGTTCCTGTGATGCCATGACATGCCATTAACCCGAGCAGACATATAACCCAGAAAGACTTGGTAGAAGAGACAAGTGACATGTGTACACAAATAAGCCTCATAAACCTAAATATGTCCGTGCCTCCAAAACAGAACAAAACTCAAAATCAAAAGGCAAACTGAAAACTTTGATTTTACAACCTTTGATAGATAAAAGATTGATAACATACATTTAACAACCAGAGTACTGTTACAAAGCAGTACAAAAAATTAACTGTCATCTAAAAGGAAAACAAATAGAAAGCAGTTTTCAACTGAGCAATAAGTACAGGAAAGATGCCCGCTCACTGTTAATACAAATTGAACAGGTGTCTATTAAGCAAGCATAACTCAAGTCATTGCCATCAAGTGAATTCCGACTCATCGCAGCCCTGAAGCACAGGGTTGGCCTGCCCGTTGTGGCTTCTTAGACTGTAAACCTTCACAGGAGGAGACTGCCTCACCTTTCTCAGGCGGAGCAGCTGGTGGCTTCAAACTACCAACCTTACGGTTAACATGCGAAGGCGTCACCTGCTATGGTACCACAGCTCCAAAAATGCAAACAGCAAGCACAGGTAGGTGTTGATTGTCAAATCTGTGTGTTCGGAGTTCCTCATTGTCCCTCAGTGTTTGACTATGTGAGGCAATTATCTTAAGAGAATGCTGAAAACCCTAGTAAGTGCAGAAACAGAAACTCCTGCCCACGATGATCCTTTCTAAAGGAATTTAAAATTTGAATTTGAGTTGCATTCTCTGCAATTTTACTTCTAAGAACTTACCTATAGAAATGTGCAAAGAAACAAGTACATAAGAACAAAAGAAAATAGTGTAAAGAAACATTGTAAGGATATTCACTGTTGCATGGGTTGCCATAGCAAAAAATTATCAATAATCCAAATGTCCATAAATAGGATGCTATTTAGATTATGCCATGCCTTTACAGTGATACGATGTGGCCACTTCAAGACAGGTGGACGTCCTATGTTAACATGGTAAAAGAATGCACCACTTCCTCCTGGGCTTCAGTCACTACCCACACGGAGAACTCGAAGCAGAGACACACAAGCAGCGTCATCAGAGACTTGTTAGTTTCCCTCAAGTCAATCCCAACTCACAGCAGCCTCACACAGAAATGCTCCTTACGCAGCGCAGACAGCAACTAGCCAGAATAACATAGATAACGGACACGCATACCCCAACGTGTATTTTGGGTAAATACAAATTTGTGTGTGTGTGTGTGTGTGTTGTATTTATCTTCCATTAAAAGATAACGGCATTCTTTTTACAAGGAATGTTCCTTAGGGTTTTCAGGCTATGACTCTGGCGAAGCACATCACCAGGCCTGTCTTCCGAAAAGCCTCTGAGTGAGTTCGAACCACCACCATTTCCGTTAGTAGCCACAGGCTTAGCCATCTACACACTCAGGGGCCATCAAACTACGGCCCGCGGGCCACATGCGGCCTGCCGAGGACATTTATACAGCCCACCGGGTGTTTTTGCCCCATTTTGTTTTTTACTTCAAAATAAGACATGTGCAGTGTGCATAGGAATTTGTTCATAGTTTTTTTTAACTATTATCTGGCCCTCTAACGGGTCTGAGGGACAGTGAACTGGCCCCCTGTTTAAATAGAGGACTCCTGATCTACACACTCAGGGGCCACTAAAAGCTAAGAGACATAGCTAATTCTACAACAAAATTTTATGGAAACAGAACGCCACATTGTTCTCCCGTGGAGAAGTTGGTAAATTTGAACCACTGACCTTTTAGTTAGTCGTCAAGTGCTTACTTGTTTACCACCAAGGTTCCTTCTTCATGCCATTAAACCCCCCACTTAACACTCAACTCCAACTGCGTGGATTCCAACTCCCAGCAACCCTCTGTGGGGTTGTTTCCAAGACGACGCAGCTTTACAGGAACAGATGGTTGCACTTTTCTCCACAGAGCAGCCGGTGGGTTTGAACCACCGACCTTGCTTATCCCATAGCATCATGAGGGGCTCCTTTATTCGCCATTCCCAGCCACTGTCACTGGGCTGATTCTCACTCATAGCAACTCTACAAAGTAGAATGCCCCCACGGGTTTCTGAGGCTGTACATCTTTACAGGAGCAGAAAGCCTTAGCCGCCCCTCACCCCCACCAGGCCTGCACAAGCAGCTGGTGGGTTTACATTGCTGGCCTTGTACTAACAGCCCAACCCGTAATCCACTACACCTCCGGAGCGGTGTCCATCAGGCACTGTCGTTAGCTGCCAAGTCGGTTCCGACTCATAGTGACGCTATGGACAACAGAACAAAGCGCTGCTGGGTCCTGCACCGCCATTAGCCCTTAGGCAGCTCTGAATAAATGAGATCCCACTCCATCCCTGTTAACGTGACAATGACCAAAAAAGTCAAACAACAGATGCTGAAACCCCCCTCCATTGCTGAGGGGATGTAAAACAGTACTGTCACCGCAGAAAACGGTTTGGTGGTTCCTCAAAAAGTTGAACACAGAACGTCCCATCCCCAGCAATTCCATTTCCAGTTACATCCCAGAAGAAGTGAGGGTAGGAACTCGGACAGAAACTTATACATGGATGTTCATTGCCAATACTTTTCACTATAGTCAAAAGGTAGAAAAAAACAAACTACCCATCAGTAGAAAAATGTGTAAACAAACTGTTGTACATAGACACAATAAAATACTACTGATCTATAGAGAGAAATTAAGTCTTAATGAATGCCATCACATGGACGAACCTTAAGCAGAATAAGTCTGTCACAAAAGGACAAATACCTGATTTTATTGATATGAAATAAGAGATACTTGGGAGTGAGAGGGAGAGGAAAGGGGCAGTTACTGCGTAGGGGGCTTTGAGCGTATGTGAATGGGTAGTGGGATGACACAGAAAAGGACAGTAAGAACGACTGAACCACTTGAAGAATAGAATTAACGTTACTGATCTGGAGAAATGAAAACAGCATGTTTTGTTATGCATATTTTCATAATTAACAAAAATGGGCAACTTTCTAAATGTTATAAAGGTTTATAATGAGTTACTCAAAATATAAGATCATTTTAAAGTGAAAAAAATTGTAATATGTTATGTGTACTTTCTAAAAGCATGTGCATACCTACCAGAGCACACTTTGAACCCACCAGCTGCTCCCATAAAAATGTAGTCTCAGCAACCTAACAGGGAGGGTCTACTAGAGGTCACTGCATGGTTACTCTGAGTTGGAATCACGTGATGGCAGTGGGTTTATACACAGACCACGTCTGGAAGGATTCTTTTAGAACAAGTCCCAGTAGCAGGCTTCAGAAAAGTGAGCTGAACTGGACAACTAGCAGATGTGGGAGGAAGGCTTTTCTCTAGAAACCTCTCTTAGAGTCTTCTGACATATGTTTCATGGCATGAACTCCCTCTTACTAGTTTTATTTTAAATACAAAAGGGTAAAACAATTCAATAGGATGAAAAGCTAGAAATATGATGATATATACAGAGATTTTAGAATGAAAGGCACGTTCTTTGGAAACAGCGACGGCACTACACACCAGAACACATGTTCATTCCAAATTACACACTCACCTGTGTTCATTCCAAATTACACACTCACCTGTGTTCATTCCAAATTACACACTCACCTGTGTAGATAGAGGCTTCTCTAGCAGCAACAGGCATGTTGGAGGTATTTGCAACCAAAGCTGTCCTCTTCATAATTGACTCTATCTTACCATCCACTTCCATGGTGAGCTGGAGACAAACAATCTATTTAATGATCTCTCATTTCTAACAGTCGCACTGTAGTCCATTTTTACCATGTGCCCGTGTCTAATCTCTTCTAATTAGGTCCTAGGAACAGTCCTCATGACTCCAATCTCTCCCCTGCCCCTTGGTGCGGTGCTTCTAGGTACTACTTCCATCTCATCAATAAAATCCATTTGTTCATTTCAACAGTTTACTTCATAACTTTGGCCATAAAAAGTTCACATCCATAAACATTTTGCCTATTTTAGCTTCCTTCCAATACTGAAGACCACTGCACCACAAAAAGAAGCTTTCGAGTGTTTGATTTTGAAAAATTCAATTCCTTCCCTCAAATCAACATGTGTAATCACAAATGTACCCAGAAAATTCTTTAAAAGATCCTTGACATGTGAGAGCCTTGCTCCACACAACCCACAGCATTACGCATTGCCAGGAGAAGTTGTCCGGTGTTTCTTTCTCCAGGGGACTGTGACTGACCTCTGGGAAATCCCGAAGCACTTCAGACATTTCATTGCCTCTTTCACCACATCCGACATAGATGATCACATCACTGTTGGAATACTTGGAAAGAGACTGTGATATCACTGTCTTTCCACAGCCAAAAGCCCCAGGGATAGCAGTCGTCCCTCCCTGCACACACCTACACAAAGAAACCACAGTCTGCTTATAAACAAAGTGAGTAGCTGACCCAGAAAAATAAAGCAAATAAGGAAGCACTTTAAATTGTATATAATTTATTTGTCATATATACATACGACATATGATATATATCCACACAAAGATACATATGTGTGTCATATATATATATACACATTCACACACACACACACACACACACACACACATATATAATAATTGCTCCGTTAACTTGCACATGTAAGTGTATGCTTTTGTTATAGCCAATCATCTCTATCAACTTGGATAACTGAAAAATAGAAGCATATTCCACCAGGAGCCTAAAGAAGAGGTATGTGAAAGACCAACTTATACATAAAATAGAATGAATGATATTCAGAATGCTTATATAAACTCGCAAGAAAGAACAATGCAGAAACGAAAGCTAAAAGAGAAGAAAAACTAGAAACAGGTTAAATAATTAAAAAAGAGTATAAAACCTAACAAATCCATATTTTGCTATAAAGGTTGCTGAAGAAGGACTTTCGTCCAGGTGTTAAGCAATCCCTTTTTATCCACTCAGTAATACTTACTAAATACTTCTTAGACACTAACACCTGTGCTCCGAGAGCTGCAGCAGGAGCTACAGCAGTCATCAGACTGCTTTCCTGGACTCAGCAGCTCACTTCCAGTGGGGGAAGCTGCCGAGTAAACCAGGTGACAGCCCAGCCCAGCAGTCCCTTTCTGGCTTTTCTGTGTCTGGAAGATCTACTGAAGGGCAGAGGAAGGGAGAGTATGGATGCTTGTGTGCACTCGTGCGCACGTACATGAGAGGGTGACATGCAATCTGTGAGTCTGTGGAGGAAGGATGAGTGGTGTGGTGTGTGGGGGGGTGGGGCGCTGAAAAAGGTTACAATGCTAAGGAATTTCAGTGTAAAATTATATCTTATCACAAAAATCCACATAGGCAATACATTCCTAATCATAACATAACCTCTGTCTTCAATTTAAAACTCATACACATTAAAAGCTTTTCTCCGGCAGAAAAAAAAAAGCTTTTCTCCTTCAAATTTGATTTTGCTAGACAAGGAGACATGTCACATCTATCCTGTAGCTTTGTATGCTTATCAAATCACTTTTAGATACTGGACAGGGGTGTGTGGTGGCATCAGGCATGGCTCGGTTTGGAAGCTCAACCCCAATGGGACAGGGCCATCACAGAGGGCACCCGTGGTGCTATGGGTACACAGAGGTCAGGGCTGCAAAGTCTGACAATGGCCGGCGAGGAGTAGGAAATCTAAGACCTGAGAGGAAAGAGAAACCAGCCATATAAAGGGGAGAAGCAGGGAAATAATATTTCAAGTACAGAAAACCGCATGCCCCCGGGCTGGGGACAGGGCCGTGCACTTGTCACTGCGTACTGTGACAAGACTGTGCACCTAACACCTGTAGGAGGCCTGGAAGATGGGATGGAAGGAAGTAAAGGGTGAAAAAAGCAGTGAGACAATACTAGGGGCTAAGCAAAAGCCAGATCGTGGTTAGCCCTGTGAGGAGTGCAAACTTGTTTCTGAATCAAGGAAGGGCACTTCAGGGTTTCAGGTAAATAATACAGCTCCCACGTGTGTCTCAGATCTGGCATCCTGTGGTGTGGACAACCATGTAGAAAGAGGACAAGACTGAAGAAGTCTGAGTAAGTGTGGTTATTACAGGGATTAGTGTGAGTACAGCGTGAATGACAGTTGCCACACAGATGTGACAGAAGAACAAGAATATTTATTACCCATATATTGGCAAGTTTTGAAAGTGATGGACTGCAGAGTCTACGCTGGGTGGGGAAGGATGTGGAAGCATGCAGCACTAACTGAGGAGCCTAGGATTAGGGATCTTAGGAGAAGAATAGTTAGAAAAACTCAGGGAGCAAATTTGAAGGAAAAGAAGTTACATGAAGAATGGGACTTGTATGGGGTTGGTGATCAGACTGAAGGAGTTGCTGTCTCGTGGCTTCAGTCTTTTCTGGGAATTAAAGAATAAAGGAATATGTTCAAAGTAAAACAGGACCGTCTAAGGAGAAAGGAGAAAGCACTTATGCAGCTGATAAAGAAGAGAGCAGATTAGGAATTAAGAGAGATGTGTGGCAGCACAGACAGAGCTGCGGGGGTGCTGTGGGTTAGTTCTTGGGCTGCCAACTTTGAGGGTAGAGATTCACACCCACCACGTGCTCCTCAGGAGAGAGACGAGGCTGTCTCCTCTCATAAAGATTTACAGCCTCAGAAATCCTATATAAGGTCACTATGAATAAGAATTGACTCGACTGCAGTGGGTTTGGGTGGCAGCACAGGGGGTCAATTGATACTGGAAGCCATCAATTTATAGTGACACCAATCCACTAATTCTAATTCTAAGAGAACATAAGAAAGAAGGAATGGGGGGGGG